GAGAGAGAGATACAGTAGATGGACGGATCAAGAGGCCTGTCATGTCGACCGCCTGTTCGCCTTCCTTTGCGCGCTTCGTCTCATGTTCTTGCTCTCTACCTATTCACCCATTTTCGAATACAAGCCCACATATGCACAATTGCTGAAAGAGAGAGAGAGAAAGTCTGTTGACGCTTGAACAAGACAAATCCTTGTTCAAGGCGATACTGTACGTGCCAACAACTCGCTGGTCTCGACGATCAATGCGCTCACCTGCCATCGACCCTCCTCTTCGCGCAGCTTCCGTTGGACAAGCATCTGCAAGCGCGAGCCCAGCATCACATCCCATCCTAGTGGACGCTTCCCGCCCTTGGCCGTGATTACACCTGGTCTGCCGAGACCCTGGCTGAGAGCTTGCAGCACGACCTGCATACCCACGCACACCTCTAGCGCCTACGCTTCACTTCACTTGTTCACCACAACGAGGCCTGGCTGCGTGACATCTGCCAGCGGGGGGGCCGACCGAAATCTCGACCAGCCAATATTAAGGTCCGGCCAGCCGCTGGGCGTTGCGCCTCCCACCTCGATCCTCACGATCCCGCGACTGGTACTCGACCTCTTTCTGTCTTTGATTGACTGGCCGATTCAACATTGCAACATTGTGTGTGCACATCCACATGGCCATCCTGCATCTCGCTCATGCCACCCTGAGCTTTCACCCACTGGCCCTCACGCGAATTCACCTGCTTCCTTGACTGACCAGACCCTGCTTGCTGCTCGTCTCTTGGTTCTTGGTCCCATATATCCGGTCTTCCGACCCCAAACCTGCCCACCGACGTTCCTCCACGCTGTTTCACTGCCGGCCTTCGTTCCCTGCCGTGTTACTCCCACGCTGACGTGTTTCGCCTTGTTCGCTGAGGGGTCTGGTATTCCTCTGTCAAACCAAGGTCGTCACTTCACCGTCAGTTAGACTGAGCAAGACCCTCACTGTGGCTCAGGACCTTGGACTCGGAACCCCAACTGGAAGGACATTCGAAGGGAGCCCACCAGCAACATCACGACGACCGGCAACACCTGGGTCGAACAGTCCAGCATCATTTTCTTATTGAGCATCCCGCAGCTTGTTTTCCAATCGCATGCGGACGCGAATTCGAACCGCCTGCGCGTAGTCGCCCACCCAAACTCTCATCGCGAGAGCGCGCTTTGCCCCGGCTCCCATCTTCACAATGGCCTCACCACTGGGCACTCTGGCGAATGCCGCCGCTGACACCATATCGCATATCAACAAGCGTATCTACATCCCGCTAGAAGCTGACAGTCCCGCCGGACTGGTAGAGGCCAACACTGTCGACCCTTGGACCGAGTCCGGAAAGTATGCTAGAGGATGGACATACTTCGCTTTGGCGCTGGCTGGCACAGTCGTCTTTATGCGAGTCTGGCACTTCTGGCAAGACAAGATCCGACAGGCCATTTACAAGGCCGAAGTCGAGCAGCACTACGAGGACATGTACACCCTCGACCCAGAACGAGCAACCGCGCTGAGGACCGGCCAGGTGGCGCAGCACTTCTTCCCCGAGACCGAAGGCCTTGGGGAGAAGCAATTCCGCCCTCAGAAGCACATGTCCTCCGTCAACTGGATCAATGACACGTTGGCGCTCTTTCGGTGGATCTTCTACCGACCCATCCCCGATATCAAGATCAAGCGACACGTTTTTACCTTTTCATCCCTCGCTGTCCTGACGACCGTCTTCATCGCACTGGTATTCGTGGTTCTGTACTGCTTCCTGCTGCAGCCACTCTACTGGCAGAGCATACAGTTTGGTTCGCCCCCCGTTGCAATTCGGGCTGGCATGCTTGCTGTCGCCCTGACGCCTTGGATCATCGCAACGAGCATGAAGGCCAACGTTATGTCCTTCGTCATCGGCATAGGGCCCGAACGCCTCAATGTATTCCACAGATGGGCTGGATATCTCGTCCTTTTCTTGTCACTCGTTCATACCGTCCCCTTCTATGTGCAACCAGTCTGGGACGATGGTGGCATGGAAGTGTTCCAGAAGCTGTTTGAAGGCGGAAGCGGAGTTATCTACGGCACCGGTATCGCCTGCTTAGTCCCGCTGGCCTGGCTCTGCGTCGCCTCTCTGCCGCCGATCAGGAGAGTCGCGTATGAGGCATTCATTCTGCTTCACATCCCCGTGGCCATGGTCTACGTCGGCTTGCTCTTCTGGCACACCAAGAACTATCTGGCCTCATGGGATTATCTATGGGCCACTGTCGCCATCTGGGTCTTCTGTCTCGTATACCGCGCTTTCAAGCTCAACTGGCTCAAGCCGTGGCGACTGGCGTTCATGGTTGGTGACGAGGCTGCCATTACTCTTCTGGCAGAAAACGCAATCAAGGTCACGATCCCCACCCAGATGAGGTGGAAGCCCGGCCAATTTGTCTATCTCCGCATGCCCGGCATTTCTCTCTTCGAGAACCACCCCTTTACCATTTCTTCCTTGTGCAGCGAGGACTTCCCCTCCGAATACGGAGAACAGTACCGAGACTGCGTCGTTGTGTTCAAGCCCTACGGTGGCTTCACGCGCAAGGTCCTCAACACAGCGATCGAGAAGGGGCCTTTCCACACGTACCGTGCCTTCCTTGATGGACCTTACGGCGGCATGCGAAGAGATCTCGCTGCATTCGATACGTGCATCCTGATTGCGGGTGGAAGCGGCATCACCGCATTGATGTCGCAACTCCTCAACCTAATCAAGCGTATGCGCGACGGCAAGGCAATCACGAGAAAGGTTGTCGTCGTCTGGGCCATCAAGCGCCTCGAGTCTCTCGACTGGTTCCGCGAGGAGCTCCGGATTTGCCGGGAGTCAGCGCCACCAGAGAGTGTCACTTGCAAGTTCTTCGTTACGTCGACGGTTCGGAACCGCCACCAGCAGATCGGAGGCGGCGCCGACCGCTCGGCACCCCGCGCTCTCAGCCACATGTTCCATGACAAGTTGGACGGCTTCGTTGCCGGCGTCGCATCCAAACGCAACTCGGCTCTCATCCAGGCCGAGGCCCAGGGCGACCCTGCACGCGAGCAGGAACTCCGCGCCGAGAATGAGGACAGAATCACAGCCCTGCCTCAGCAAAAGTACTTGCAACCACACCAATATCCCCTACCAGGACCCAACGGTCCGCCATCGAACAGACACTCATTGCAAGAGGACTCACTCCGAAGGCTCGAGGGCCGCGATTTCCCGCTCGACGTCAAGAGTGATACCGACAAGCGAGCCTCTCGTGACTTCCACTTCCCCCCAATCAACACAAAAGACGCCCCTCATTTCAACTACGCTCCACCACAACCCTCGCCGCGCATGCCGCCACCCGAGAGCCCCTACGCAGATGAGGACGGCTCCGACCTCCCGGTCCGTGCTCCCGAGCTCGCTCACCTCCGCAAGCTCAGCCCTGAGGCCGCGGCACGTGCGGCGGCGCAGAGACCGACAAGCACGTTCGGCCCTCCATCAGGCTTCGACTTTGGGTTCCCACAAACGCCAACCGAGTTCCAGAAGAACTTGATGCGTTTTGCTTTCCCAATTCCCCACCAAATCGATGGCGGCTGGACCGTCGAATATGGCCGGCCGGATCTGGGCTACATGCTCAAGGAGTGGGCGACAGGCGGCGCCGACGGACGCGGCATCCTCGGCCGACGAACCGCTGTCTTTGTGTGCGGGCCTCCTGCCATGCGTGTGGGCGTTGCCAACACAGTTGCGTCGCTGCAGGCGGGCATCTGGGGCGATGATGAGCTTGAAGAGATCTTCCTGCACACCGAGAACTATGCCCTGTGAGAGGGCTGGAAGCTGTACAATCAACCTAGTAATGGGAAGGATGTTGAAGTGGATTAGAGATACCATGAGCGATCGTAGGTTGGGGACCAAGACGGGGGATTTGCATACCCACACGGGGACTGATTTGACAGTGCACATTGCCCCAGATATTTACTTAATTAATGTCATGATTTTCCAGCGAAGACATCCGCTTGTTCTTGGCCGTGATTTCTCTCAGAGTGACAGCCTGCCGCAAGTCTAAATTAACATTTCTCAGCCGAAGCCCAGACGGAAGTTTTCCTGCTGCCGCCACTGCTTTCATCGCACCGAAACGAGAGTCGCCTCTCCACCTCGACGACCCTCAACGAACATTGGCTCTGGTCCAAGGAATCCATGACCTCCGGGTCCCGCAAGACTCGAGCCACATCGGAGAAGGATTTCCCCGGCATAGGCCCATGCTTGAAGTAGGAGTAACAACCCAACAGAACAACAGCCAATGTAAAGAGGTTCGCCAGCGCATACGGTATCAAAAGGCCCAACACTAAGTATCCGTAGCGGTTCACGTCGTCTATCATCTCTACAGACGTCTGGGCAGGTTGTCTGCTCTTCATGTCAGCGGTTTCGCATGTTGCGTTGCAATTCACATGTGGAGGATCGGCCCTCAAACTCACGTCAAAAGCTCATTGTGCAGCAAGCTAACAGTCACGTTGAAGGCCAGCTGCTGGATGAGTTTACCAAGCGGCAGGCCACCGGCCACAGCCTTGTCCCGCCGGCGCTGCTCCTTGAGGCCCTTCAGCCGCGAGGTGTCAAAGCTGTAGAGCCGCTGGCTAAAGTCGAAGAAGACGTCCAGGTCGTCGCAGCCGAGGAGGACATTGTGCTCCAGCTGCGTGTCGATGACGCCGAACTGCGCTGCTCCCGGCGCGGGGGCTGAGGCGCCTGCTTCGCTCACCTCGGGCACGCTGCGACGTCTGTCGGCCGGCGGCTTCTTGTCCCTCGACGCCGAAGGCTTGGCGTCCGACCACTTTTCAAAATCGGGGAGCAGCGCCTTGTGGTTCTGAGGCGTCCGCTCCTGCTGCTCCAGCGCTGCGTCTTCGTACCACGACAGAGATCCCACGACCTGGTCCGTGATGACCCACATGAAGGCGGAATAGGCATGCTTCGCCATATCCGTCGCCGCCACCGCCTCGCCAGCCGCAGAGAACCCGACGCGTCCCAGCAGAAGCAAGCTGCCGCAGACGCTCTGTACCCCGTGATCCCACGACACGGCGACGTGGTAGCTCGCGTTCCACAGCTCGCAAACGAGCCGCTGCCTCGCGCGGGGCCGGAGCCCGCCCTGCCGCGGCGATCCCCCGTCGTCTTCGTCGTCGTCGTCGACGTAGCGCGACAAGCTGATCCAGACCTCGTTCGTCGCGTTGCTGGGCGCCCTGTCGCGCGGTTTCGACACGGGCGCGAGCGTGCCGTTGACGCGTACGGGCACAAAGGCGTAGTAGGCGTTGTCGGCCTCGCGGGCGGAGCCAAGCGGCTGGGCCATCTTCTGCCGGAGGAAGCCGTCGATGAGGGCCTCTGCGCTGGCGTTGGCAGGGCCGCAGCGGACGGCGGGGCCGAAGAAGGTCGTGTTGTAGCTCGCGTGCTCGTGCGGGGCCGGCAGCGGGAGGATCTCCCCGAGGGCTGAGGCGGCTGTCGACACGAGGCTCAGGGCTGTTCGGGGGCCGGCGAAGGTGCGGGGCTCGTCGGCGGCCAGGTACGTCAGGTTCCGCTGGGTCGGGGGGCTGTAGGCGAACCGGTGGCCATCTGAACTGTTTGAGATGGCGGGCTGGGGGACCATTTGGTCGACCACGGACCGCCTGGTGCTGGGAAGGATGTACAGCGTCGATGGCGTGAAGAAGGCTGGGAGGAGGAGACACCAGGCCAGCAGAGCGAGGGCCGACCCGAGCTTGAATCTGCGCAGCATTTCTGTATTGGCGAGAGACAAGATTGACTCGTTGGCTCCGAAGGCCGCGTTGAGAGCCCGAGGGCTCATCGGTTTGCGTTGAAGGTTACGCCAGAGACACTGTGTATAACAGAGCCAGACGGCCGTGACGAAGGAGAATTGCGTAAGAACAGCCAACGCCGTCCCGATACTAGAATGGTGTAAGCATCAGATCTGCATCGGGGTACAGAAGAGTGGGAATACCGGATGTTACTCTGTTGACGATAGCCATCACCAGCAACAGTCCCGCTCAGGTGGATGTAGTACACGATGTGGCTCAATGTTGTACTCAGACCAACAAGATAGAAGAAGCAGAGCAGCACTGCCGGTCGTTGCCAGCATCTCATCGCTGCGGGCGACGAAAGTGGTGCGTCTGTTGTTACGACCCTTGTGTCAGAGGATGCCCAGGTCGACGCGCGATGTAGAGTATGCCTAGCGCTTTCTGCCTGGCACCATCCTGATGTTGGAGGATCTGTATGACGCCCGGAGCACATGCTGGGGAATGTTATAGCCCGCATGTGACAGATTGCGTCAGGCACCGGGGCCAGCTCGCCCGTGTCAGAGCTGGGATCCTTCGTCGGAGACGGTGAACCAAGGTCTGGGAAGTCAGTTGGGGTATTGGCGGGAACAGGTGGGACGGGCTGATTCTCATGAGGTAGGCCTCGCTGGAACATGTCGGAGGCTTCCCTGTGCATGTTGGAGTTCTTCATTTTGCTAGCCATCTCTTATTCTGCATTGTAAGCGGACTCAGTCGCCCTTTTTGCTTCAACGGGTATTCTTATACTGGTACGTCTGTAAGCAAACTCGTCGTCAATCTGCTATTCATCGAGATGCGCCGACGATAGACTTCAAGCCTCATCGGCCCTAGCAAAGAGCCGCAGACGCCCCGCGCCGGCCTCGGCTCCTTATTGACCTCAGATCGTTTCACCCTCTTGGCCATTGAGACGGCGACTTTCAATAGCAAGAGACTCCCGGACCCTGTAACGTTACGCGTCCTCGAATGTAAGAGGAGGATACTGGTGACCTCGTGGAATTTGTTGGCACTGATGGCATTATGTGATCGGCGTATCGTCGCGACCTAAGCGCCGATAAGCATAAAACATGACAGCTCACTAGCAACATGGTCCGCGTTAAACTTTTTGACGCAGTTACTCTGACCAAAAAAGACTTTGACGGTTGGAACGAGTAACTCGGAACGATCAGGCCATCACAGATACCTCTCGAACAGTCTGCTCACAATCTTGCTTGTGAGCGGCGAGCATCGGATATGGGATGCGTAAAACGTCTTCCGACCTATACATATAGAATTCTGCTTAGTGCACAAACGCCAGACACGCCAGGCGCCCGGTTGGCAAAGTGCTCAACGCGGGCCGGAAACCTACGCCATCAGACCATCCTGACCCCTATCTCTCCCAGTCCCGGGGAGCTTGTAAACCCATATGGACGATGCCAAGCGCCGAGTCCCGGCTTCCAAGTATTGACCTCTAAGCACGCATCTCCCCTCTAGGGATCTTGGGACTTCTCCTCTGGTGCCGAGACGGCGGGTTCCGCCTTCGCAGTCTCCTCGCTCGCGGGTTCCGGCTGTGCCTCTTTCTCTTCTGTCGGTGCCAAGGCAGCCTCGACAACGGCGAGCTCCGGCGCTTTCTGGTCCTCCGCTTGACGATCCAATGCCGTCTCCAGTCCAGTTAACAGATCTGGGCCATCGTCCTCGGGTGAGGGCTGCTTGGGTGCTGCAGGCGCAGGTGGTGTCGGGCTTCGTACAGCTGCTGCGAGAGGAGTCGATTCGACCACGGCTGGTTGGGCAATCAGTTCGGCTACCGGAGCTGGCTCCTCCACAGGTTCGACAGACTCTGTCGCGGGGCCTTCTTCCAGCTTGGGGGCCTCGGCGCTTGCGCCCTCGTCCTTCGTCTCAGTCACTTCTTCGACGACTGGCGTGACTTGCTCCACAGGCTTGACGTCGGCTACTTCGTCCACCACGGGCTCCGTGACACTCCCGGTGATGGTCACCTCGGTGGTCACGACTTCCGCTGGCTTGGCTTCTTCCGCTGGCTCCGCGACCTCTGTGACCGGCTGTGTCACAACCTCGTCTGCGTCCTCCGCGTCTTGCATGGGTACATCAGTAGTCGGTTCCGGAGATACAATATCTCCCACACGCTCTGGCGGTGGGATGAAAGTGGATGCCTGTGAAATCTCAACCTCAGCCTGGCCCTCGGCCGGTGGCTGAGATGCAACCAAAGCCTCTTCTGAAGGGGACTTGGTCGATCCGGCGGTCGCTTCCTTCTCGTTGTCTGCACCAGCTTCGGGCAATGTTTCGTTTACAGGCTGTGGTAGGGGCTCTGGCACAGACTCTGGCACGGGCTCTAGTACGGGCTCTGGCGCGGGTTCTGGCGCGATTTCTGGCGCGGGTGCTGTTGATTTCTCTGGAGAAGGCTCAGCAGCGGGCGCTGACGTGGAAACCGGCGTAGGGTCCTTGGCAAGCTCATCTGTTGCTTCTGCCTTGGTTTCCGGCGCGCTCGCTTGTGTGTCTTGAATGGCAACATCTTCCGACACCTTTTCAGCTGCTGCTTCCGTGGCGTCTTCGGAAACCTTGGGCTTCTCTGGCTCAGAGGCTGTCACCTCTGCCGGCTCAGGCTTCTCCGCCGGTGGCGACGTCGCCTGAGGCGAGGCCACTGTTGGAGATGGCATGACAACGTTCTTCAGCGGGCTTCCTTCGAGCTTGGGAGAGGTCGACAGCGACAGGTTGAAGGGCGGTGCCAAGAGCTGGCTGGGCGGCGGGAGTTGGCGGTTCGTAGATGGCGACTCAGCATCGCCCATGTCCATGGTAGTGTCGGCTGACGCGGGAGGCGCCGCGGGGGATGCGTCGGTCATTTCCTGGTCCTGGTCTTCGCCGTCCTCGCCGTCCTCGCCATCGTCTCCATCGTCATCACCTTCGTCGTCGTCATTATCGTTATCAGCCATCTCGCTGTCCGCATTGTTGGAACCTTCGCGCTGGTCCTGTTGAGGTGTCTGCAGCATACTGTTAGCTTTAGCTTTCGTGCATGAGAAGGGTTCTCCAGGATACCTACGGTTGCGCCCTCCACACCCGGGACTGCCGGCGTGGGAACAGTCGCACCCACGGCTCTCTCTTGGCCGGGTGCTGGTGCCGGCAGCGGCAGCGTCTTCCTCTTGCGCCCGCGGCCAAGGCCTCCGGGTTTCTTATTCTTCTTTGGCAGTGGCGGCCGACGGTTGCGCGGAGGCGTGGCCTGGGCCTGCGGCGCGGCAACGGCAGCGGGCACGACCGTCGTGGAGATGATTTCGCCCTCGACCTGCTGGCCATCCTGGAGGGTGATTTCCTGCGTGTACGCGTTGCCGGCGGCGTCAACCTTACGCACCGTGGCCTTGGTGACGGTCGCGCCCACGGCAGGCGTGGTGACTGTCTTGGAAGCAATGGTGACGGTGCCTTTCCTCCGCTTGGCGAGATGGGAGACGGTGGCGCCCTCGGCGTTGCGGTGGACCTGCCTCCAGATCTTGATGTGGAAGCCCTTGACGGCCTCCTCCTCCTCCTCCTTCTTCTCGGGCTTCTCGACAGGCGCCTCGGGATCGACCTCCTCTTCTTCGGCGGGCGCCGGCCGCTTGTAGAGGCGACCGGAACGCGCGGCGCGCAGCAGGTCCTGGCTGTGCTGCGGCAGGAGGCCGGCGTCCCGGGGCATGCCCCAGAGAAGCTCGCGCGACCAAATGTCATTCTTGCGTGTCGTCTCGGGGGGCGGGGGCGGGGCGACGTTGACAATTTCCTGGCGCCATTGCCGAACGGGTAGGCCTTCAAAGTCGTCGTGTTCGACGTAGCCGCCGCGGTTCGCGCGTCGAGTCTGAAGGAAGCAACAAGGGTTAGCCTGCTGCCAGCGCACACCAAGATGGGAGGATCGGGATGAGAGTCACATACACCTGGCGCCATATTTTTGGTTCTTCAAAAGGTAGGCCGCTGCTGACTGGTGCAAACACCAATGCTTGTATTGACCGTCAAAGAGCGAGATGTCGTCGAATGTGCACTGCAGCAAGTGGAAACAATGCAAGGCTGAGAGGCGGCGCTACGGGTGCGATGCGTGGCTACAGATGCCGTCTGTTCTGTACGAGTGCTGAAATGACAGGGCCCAATGCGCCCGAAGCGAAAGCCCAGAGTTGACGATTCGCGCGCTGGAGGTGCCAATTGATGCGCCGCGAGCTGATCAGATACGCGATCCTTGGATGCAAACAGGCGAGGCACGAGCGTCGACGAGAGTCGCGATCTGAGAAGGCGCTCGGACCACCTCGAGCCTCCCACTCGCTCGATGACTCAGCAGTCACTATCCCCAAGGTCTGACTTCTGGCGATTGGCCATTGAAGAGAGATGCCAAGGTAGGAAACTGGTGTGCAGAGGATGAATGCATTGAATAAATCCAGTCTGTTCTTGGTTATCGACGGATGTGTTTTCAAAGTTGTTAAACCGTAAATGTAGCACTTCCGTCAACAAAGCCTATGTCTAAGCCATCTCATCGTACCATAGGTAGCTCAAAAGGATGGAGTGGACGGCAGAAAGTGCCCAGGCAAACTCCATTGTGAGAATCTATGTGCTCAGAGGGGCGTATGTCCTCTATCCGGCTTCCAAAGCATAAGGTAGGTAGCCAAGTAACCTCCCCACAGCGCATGCAGCGTCCCCTGCTGCCTCCCCTCCCAGCCCAGTCATTTGTATTTTGGTGTACAGTTTCGTTCCATCCCCGATCATATTGTACAAAGTCCGACGGTCCTCCCTGCCTGGTGATCTCTTGTCGTACAAGACCCAGGGTCGACTGCCAGCTTCCCTCGTGGCAATGACTTAATCGTAACTGTATCATATCAGTAACTGCTCGAAAATGCGAGAAGAAAACGACGTACCCCTGCTCCTTTTGCCTCACAATCTCGCTATGGTCGCCCTTCTCCTTGCCCTTCAAACAATCAGTATTGAGCAGATTCTGATAAACCGGAAAGGCATCACCGAAAAACTTACAGCAACACCGCCCTCGACAACTAATCGGTCCATCTGGAAGAACTGGCTGACCAGCGTTTGACGCTACAACCCTTGGTCAGTTCCACGACCCAATGCGAACGGCAGCGCCCGTCTCCAAGAAAGACAAAGGGTCGAGGCACGAACCTTCATCACCTGCAGCTCCTTGAGGCCCTTCTGGATCAGCTCCTGCACCTCCCGCGAGTCCTGGACGTGCTGGTGCTCCCTGAACGCATCCCTCGTTCGCCTTTTCGCGTAGTCCCGGAAGTTATAGGCCGCAAACTGCTCGCCCTGTCGCAGGAGCTGGCGGTACTGCCATTTTGGTTCCTCGTCAGTAACAAAGCTCTTTCTCTTGCCCTTCGCTGAGGCGGGCGCCGCGGGCGGGCGCAGAGTGGTTGGGCGGAACGTACTAGGGAGCGAGCCTGCTGCGGCGCGTCGCCCTTGAGCGCCTGCATCGCTGTCGCCATGGTGCGTGATGCTGCGCTGCGCTGGTGGAAGGAGTGCTCGGAGGTAGATGTGTTGTGGCGGACGGACGATCGAAGGGGGGGTGGTCGATGGTCAACAGTGGAGGTGCTGGGGATTATTTCGCTGGAAGGATTCCCGGGGTATGATGCAACACTTTTCAGCATCTTCGGCATTATGCGGTTTGGGGGGCGGTTCGGGGTTTTCGCGCTTCGGACTTTGGATGACTCAGCATTTCGACATGTCTCTGGAGATGACACCTTAAGTTTCTTGCCATGACGGCAACAGAATAATGTCACACTATACGTGCTCTCTTCATTGAACTTTTATGCTTCCCTATTATCTTTTTCCAAATCGACGGCTTAAATCCGTAGCCTGATATGCTGCGCTTTTGTGTAGCTGAATCCGAAAGACGGGAGCCTTCAGCAGGTCATTCAAGTCTTCCCAAGCTGCCGTCCCTCGCATGGACAAGATTCGCCGCCAGTCTCTCATACCATGAGGCTTCTGGACCATGCGTCTACAGGATATGCTCCGAAAGGTGACCTTATGGCCGGGCTACCGACTTCGGTCGTGCACAGCTGGGGCGCCAATCGACTCTGGACGAGGGATGTCAAAGCCCAACAGTCGTGTGCGTTGTCGGTGCTCACGATGCCGCAGGTTTAGCATACACTTTTGCGAGGCTGGATGATCCGTTCTTCAAGCTAGTCTTCCTCTGCATCGTATTTGCCCAGGACAAAATGGATTGAGGCCTCATTTTGAAGATTTGGCATCAGCCAACTTCTGCAGTGTGGCCTTATGCAGCGCCTTCTGACCTTCGATAATCTCTTTCAGCTCATCAATCTGCTTCTGCGCCTCAGCACTGTTGCCAGACTGCGTTGCCGGTGGTTCAGTAAAGGACAGAATAGCCTTCTCCAGGACGTCATCGGGGAACCCTGTGCTGTTGAGCATATTCTGGAACCTACTGGGCGGTGCCAGATCAGCCTCGAGCTGGGCCGTGAAGGTGTACTGCCTCTCGGCGAGGCTGGGCTTGATGACTGTGATGGGCCTTGTCGTCTGGGCCGCCTGCGTGAGAGGCGGGAACACGAGGTTCGTGACGGAGGCGTTGAGGTCCGTCAGTTCTGTTGGGTGGCCATTGTCGGTGAGCTGCCACTGAAGAATCTTGCCCTTGGTATGGCCGGTAAGGACGGTCGTGCCGTCATGACTGATAGCCAGGCAAGAAGCTGGGCCGCACTCGGGGTCGGCGACACCTAGCGGAGAATTGACTTGGACGGCGGTCGAGGAGACTTCGGCGCTGTGCTGGCCGACCAGAGGCTTGGTACCAAAAAGTTCGACGAGATAGAGTGAGCCGTCCTCACACGAACGAGGACGGCGCGCGAGCAGGGATCGAGGCAACACAGAGAGGGACGCTGGGGAACAGCAAGTCCGCAAGGCTCACCGTCTGGTAATTCCAGA